GCGCCATTGCACTCCAGCCTGGGTAACAAGAGTAAAACTCCGTCTCAAAAAAAAAAAAAAAAAAAAAATTAAGAAAGAATTGCTAAAGAAACAGAAGGATGTACCAGGTGTCAGGAGCGCCCCTGAGCAGACAGACGGCAGCTGCCCCCACGTCCTCCGCAGGTTCAGTGCGGCCGCATTCGGGATCCCAGCAGCGTTCGCAGGTTTCAGTGCAGGTGGATAAAAACCCAGGGCCTACCAAGAGGCCAGGGCCACCCTCGCAAAAGCCGGGCTTCCCACGGAGCTGCAGGACCCCGGCGAAGATGACAGGTCGGGGGTCTAAGAATAGGGATCCTGGAGCAGCGGACGTGCTGTGAGACCTGGAGGCCTTCCCTCCCGCTGTCCACGCCGCGGCCTCTGAGCACCCTGTGGCCGCCGACGTGAACCACCACAACCTTGGTGGCATAAAACAGCACACCCCTTCTCTCACAGCTCTGGAGGTGAGAAGTGTGACGCAGGCCTCACTGGGCTGAAATCAGGCCGCGGGCAGGCGGCTTCCTCCTGGGGCTCCGGGGGGAACCTGTTCCCGCCTTTCTCAGCGCCCAGAGGCGCCCACGTCCCTCGGCTCGGTGGCCTTCCTCCCCTTCGCAGCCACAGAGCAGCCTCTCCCAGCCTCTCGGCCGCTCACCCTCCTCCCTCCTCTTGTGAGGACCCTGGGAGGAGCCTGAGCCCCCAGTTACCCAGGATGCTCTCCCGTGCCAGGGCCTTCACTCAGCCCCACCTGAGTGTTCCTTCTGCCGCAGGAGGGACAGTCACAGGCTCTAGGTCTGAGGATGCAGGTGCCTTTGGGGCTGCTCCTCTGTCTGCCACATGCCTAGGAATTTGTGTGGGAAAGAGAACTGGCAGCCTGTAAACACAAAGCAGGAAAATGTCTTTATAACCCAAGGCTAAGTGATGCTTTATTAAAAAGCACAAACCAGAAAGACGAAGATTGACAGATTCAGTGACTCCCAGATACACTGCTGTTTATCCAAAGATGGACCTTTAAGAAAGTGAGAAGGCAAGCTGACGGGCAGCGAAGGCACCTGCCATTCTGTCACCGACCAAGAGCAGATAAGAAGGATCAGGAGGAGCTCGGCTCCCCGAGGAGGTGGCCACGGAGGAGGAGACCCCTGAGGCTGATGTGCGCAGCCTGCTCTGGGAAGCGAGGGGGAGACGCTGCTGACGGCTCACTGGAACACCAGAGGTGGAAACACCCACCATGCCCAGCACCAGCAGCCGGTACAGCGGGCAATGCAGTCCCCCCGCTGCCCGGGACCTGCCTGAGTCCAGCTGCGCTGGAGTGAGACCTGGCCTCATCTGGCGAAGCGGAGCGTTTGCAAACTGCACACCCAGAGCTGCCCTCGGGCATGTCTCCTGGAGAGACCTTTGCTGGGGCACTAGGACTGTGCAGATGCGGGGACAGGCAAGGCAACCAGCCACATCTACAGAGAGGGACAGGGAAGCAGCGCCCTCA